CAATCATAAATTAAAATACAAATTTTAATACAAATATTTAAAAAAAAAATTTACCTTTTTTTTTTAAATTTTTTTATTTTAATTTTAATATAAATTTAAATATAAATTTTAATACAAATGTAAATTTCATGGCAATCGGGTAAAAAGTGCAGAAGTTACAGGTTCTAGAATATTTCGACAAAAAATGTTGTTACCATGGTAACGATGACTCCGCCTACACCAAAAACAATAGGCGTCTTCGCTTTACGATAACGCACCTTTATGCGAAATTTGAAGATGATCCGAAAAAACTGCAGCCGGTAGAGCGTTCACAAGGAAATCTCTACGGCGGCGGCGGCGGCGCGACGATGCCAAACCCATAGTATCCCCACGAACTTCGTTCGGGGGATACAATAACAACAGTGGTGATTGGTCTTTTTCATTTGGTTAATATTTGTGGATTTCAGGCAGTTGTGGATATGTGTCAGTTGGCCTTGAGGAAAAAGGAGCAAGAGCTTGATCCTATTTGTAGGGTTCCATTGATCACCTCACAGAAGGAAGAGCAGGAACTTATCAAAACGACAACAAAGGCGAGTTCAAATATTATTTAGTCATAATTTAGAGTCTTGAAAGTAAACCATGTTAAAATTGCCTCAGATACTTAAAGGGATAGTAGACTCTAGGATTTTACTGCATACAACTGTACTTACTGTATAACAAATCGTCAATACCAACACGCATTTGTTACCCATGGTTCGCACAGTCCTTGAATTTGAGGGGAGTCCTTGAAAAGTACTTGAATTTAGTAAATGTTGATTTTGTGCTTCAAAAGTCCTTGAATTTCATGACAATTGTCTTTGTCACTCAAAGCGCACGATCTGATAAGTTGCGCAAAACCACTTTCCAGCCAAGGGCTACTGACCGAGGGTGTTTCTTATTTATTCATTTAAAAGCAAAAGGATTGTAATATCTTATAAACGACATATAGTTTCAGTTATAATATGGATAAATTTGCCCTAAAATGAATATCGTTCGGTTAAATAGCATTTAGGTATTTATAAATAGAATTGCACTTTTGTGATTAGCCCTCAGTCTGTAACGTGCAAAATAAATTGTCAAATACGCAACTTTTTCGGGGTGGCAGCACGGTCGCCGGTGTGATGGCGCCGTTCAAATTTCGTAGCGTTGATGTGTAATTAATTATAACAATTAAATTAGGTATCTGGTAACAAATACATGTGGGTATAGACGATTTGTTATACAGTAAGTACAGTTGTATGCAGTAAAATCCTAGAGGCTACTGTCCCTTTAAATAATGATCACAAATTACAGTAAGTCACTAAAATCAGTCAGTAAATCAAGGTATGTTGTAGAAGTGACAGTGTTTAGAAGGGTTTATTAATGTGATCTAGGTAAGTTTTAGAGGTGACATGCAGTGATTAAGAATGGGGTTATTAAATTAATCCAGGAATGTTTTGTTCTGTGTATGAATTCCGATAAAATGTCTGATGGAATGTCCTTGGATTTCCGTTAAAATGTCCTTGAAAAGTCCTTGAAAAAAATTTCAGTCCTGTATGAACCATGTTACCAGACACCTAATTTAATTGTTATAATTAATTACACACCAACGCTGCGAAATTTGAACGGCGCCATGACACCGGCGACCGTGCTGCCAACCCGAAAAAGTTGCGTTATTTTGCATGTTACAGACTGAGGGCTAATCACAAAAGTGCAATTATATTTATACCTAAATGCTATTTAACCGAACGATATTCATTTTAGGGCAAATTTATCCATATTATAACTGAAACTATATGTCATTTATAAGATATTACAATCCTTTTGCTTTTAAATTAATAAATAAGAAACACCCTCGGTTTGTAGCCCTTGGCTGAAAAGTGGTTTTGCACAACTTATCAGATCGTGCGCTTTGAGTGGCGCCACCATCGTTGTAATCAAACTGTAGTCGTTAGTTTTAAAACATTTTTTAATAATATTTCTAATGGTGGTTGAACCATGAAACTTTTTATGTAGCGTAATTTTAACCTAAATTAACTGAAAATAACCCTAGAACCTAGAGTAAACGATCCCTTTAAGAGTACAATATTTTTTCCATTTTTTATATTTTTTGGTTATATTCTTTCAGAAATATTTCTCTATGTGATGTTTGTGTTCTTTAAATTCATATTTATATGATCAGAAATATAATACATGTATCTACAATGTTTTAATTATTATTTAAATAGAGGATTTTTTTACGCATTTTACGCTCTTTTTTTTCTCTTAAAAGCGCGTAGCTGGCCTAATCCTGGCCTCGTTAAAAAAGACGTTAGTCACACAGCATGGTCGGGTTAGGTGTCGTTGTAGAGCTGCAGAAGAAATAGTATTGTCAACAAAACAGCGTCTAAATTGATTTTAAATTGACTACGTCACGAATTTTCTATGGTAAAATTGGTAAAATTTTTGTTGCCATTTTTTTACATTAAAAGTAAGAACTAATGGGACTAAACGTATCGTCAAATTCTTACCTGATAAGATTGTTTCTCAACTAGTTAAAAATCCAAAAAACCTGGACGATTTGATATTAATGTTCCCAACATTAATTGCTTGCTATGGGCTATGTATGAGTCACGAGTGTATGTTCACATCGAACAATATAGTAAAACAGGAAGTATAATGCAGCAATTTAACCATAAAAAGTGAACAGAATGACTTATATTTTGTAAAAAAGTGGAAATATTCTTTTTTAATTTTTACTATTTATGGTGACATAATCACTTTAAAGCACTATTTTTACATATAACTATAAAAAAAAATTCAGACCACCAGACCCTTGTTACTCGCTCGAGGACCCCCCCCCCCAATCCAAATTCCTGGCTACGCCCTTGTACAGGATGGAGATGTATTACTAGTCTTGCCTCATAGATTTGTGCAAATATGTCTATGCGTAATAATGCTATATTAATCATTAATATTGATTGGAGAAAATGGGATTAATATATTAATATCTTAATTAATATCTTAATTAATATGTTAATATCTCATGCTACATATATAGTAAGCACGATTTATTTTATGTGTAAAACATTGAAATAACAATGATATTTCATTCTGCCTATTTACAGCCTGTGGTTAAACTTCTAGTCAACAGACACAACAACAAATATTCATATACAAGGTATGGGATACTTAATTTCTGAAACCTTGCATTGAAATACTAAATATCATCATTGCGTACACTGAGTTAGTAATATATTGCATATGCATGAACTTGTCAATATGCTGGCACATTTATAGTTTTGTAAATTATACTGTAACAACATATTTCCAGTCGTCTAATGCATATTGAAAGGATAATGCGGTTGTCTGTCTATCAGAATGAAACAGAATGCGCAATAACATTAGAGCTACGCTTGTTGTCATAGTCTCATCTCTTTTCAGCCAATCAGACGACAACCTGCTGAAGAACATGGAGCTGTTTGATAGGCTGTCACTACGCTTCAGCCGCCGCATCCTCTTCATCAAAGACGTGATCGGCAGCAACGAGATCTGCTGCTGGTCGTTCTACGGTCACGGTCAGAAGGTCGCAGAGGTCTGCTGCACCTCTATAGTCTATGCGACAGAGAAGAAACACACCAAGGTATGTTACTCTTCTTTCTGTGCGAATTCCCTCTTATCTTTCACAGTAGGGGGCAGGAAATCGCTTGTATTTTAAGAGACAAATGAGTTAAGAGAAAGGTGTTGGACCGTTTTAAAGATCAGAGCACATGTATAAATGGAAATGTGCAGAGCTCTTAGCCTCTATCACTGAAATGAAAGCAAATGCCCAGGATTTGTGGCTGCGTGCCTCCAAGCACAATTGTACGGGAATCCCGAGCAGGGTAGCACACGGTTGCCATTAACTGCTGTAAACTCGTCTTTCCATCTCTTCCCTCCTGTAAACATGGTAAACTCATGCTAGAACTTGCATAAATGCCACGGACCTTGATACTTTCTCCCATAGAAATGTTGAATGAAAGAGACTGCCAGTGTAAGCATGCAACGTGATTTCTCGTCCAGGTCGAGTTTCCAGAGGCACGAATCTATGAGGAGACGCTGAACATACTGCTGTATGAAAATCGCGGTGAGGAGCACCGGCCGAATCACGAGCTGATGCAGGCCACCAGGTGGCCGGCTGGATACCAGAGCGACGAAGAGGACACAAAGGATCTAGATAAAGTGCGCCGACACAAAACCTAAACGGTAGCGACAGCCCTTGTTCATGGGAGCCACGATCACATCAGAGGCAATATGTAATTTCGTTAATGTTTTTTGTTTTTTTACTTTAGGAGATGTTTTACATTAGTACGTTTGTAATCTTTCACTTAAACCAGACGTATGAATTGAGATGTGATTTGAACAAAAGTGTATCATGATGAAGTTTAGAGATCTTTCCAATGATATGTAAATACCATGTCTTAGTTTGCTTTTAATATGTTCTAAGCGAACTCAAGGTTAATTTTTGATTTCTCTGCGTGGCGGGCTGCCTATCTGTAAATGTCCCGGTGTGTGTGCGTGCGTGCGTGCGTGCGGTAATTGAAATGATAAAATAGGTGGTTTTGTGGACATTACAAATTCAGAAATGTTGGTGTTTAGTAAATTTATCTGTGGCGTATTATCCATAAAAAACTCATGTTAGGATGAAAAAAACTAAAGATTTATCATGAGATATGACTAGTAGCAGCAGCTGCAGCACAGATTGTTATGTATATAAGAAATTATAACATTGAGTAAAATGGTACTCTTATTCTCTCTCTCTTTCTCTCTCTCGTTCTCTCTCCCTTGCTCATGCTTTCTCTCTCTCGTTCTCGCTCCCTTGCTCATGCTTTCTCTCTCTCCTCCCTCCCTTCCTCCTTCTCTATCTGTCTGGCTGGCTGGCTGTCTCTCACACGTCTGTGTGTTCTCTCATTGCTTCACTACTCTTGCTGGGTTCAGTGGTAGGCATGTCGGACTGTGGGAAGGTTTGGTATTTTGTGTTAAATGAGATGTAAATGTTCCGTTATCATGACAACATTGTATTGCGTATATGGCCAGCTATACTGGATGTCAGCTAAATATGTTTTTTTTCTCATGAATCAACTATCTATAAGAACACAATTGCACTCTACTTCTAAATACATATGCTGATGTTTTTTTTCCAACAAGAACTGGTTGGGAAAAATTAAAGATCTATATCTTATTGCTTGTGAGAGACTGGAAATTTCCTTAGGCATATTCTCTTACTATGTGACATATCTTTGTTAGAGGTATTCTGTCTACTTGAATGATGGCAGTGCCTATACTATAATACAAATAAAATTGAAAGAATAAAAGACAATGTGCTCGTGTTTTTATTACGAAGCAGGTCGTTACTTCAGGGTTTTATTTACAGATAAATCGGTGTGTGTTTTATTTCTGTAAAATTATCAGCTTTGTTAATTAATTTGTTTAACCAATAATACCTACAATTATGAAATTTACCAATGATTAAATGTAAATGAATATTGTATCTTGGCTCCCTATCTTGTATTTCACAAGGCACTCGATTCCTCGAATGTGCGGGGATTATCAAAAGAAAAAGGAGATTGAGACGATTGGACGATTGATGTGTCTTAATGTGTGTGTATCACTATGTGTGTGTTTGTTTGTGCGCGCCACTGATTTATAAATATAATATACTAGCAAAGTACCCGTCCTTCGGACGGTGGGAATTCATGAATGAGTGTATTAGTGTTGTAGCTCACCTAAGGGTCAAGGGCTTCTTTGTAAAGTATGTTTTTGGTATTCGTGTCCTGTGTGTGAATGAATATCGTCGTGGGTTTGCCTACTTGTGAGAGGGCAACATAGAGCATACCATGGAAGACAAGACAGGTGTGGTCAGGCCCAAGCCTATGGTAGTGAAAGTCTATGGTAGTGATGCTCACGGGTGCGGGCATATGCTGTGAATGTAGCGATGCATGGTTTAGCTGAGAAGAAGTACTTTGAAGAAGTAAAATACAATACAAAAGTTGATTTGATAAGATTTACAGGTGATGGATACTAAATGACAGAACTTCATGGTATACAACGTTGGTAGTGTAGTAAACAGTCTGATTTCCCTTGAGTTTGGTTGTGAGTAGTTTCCAGTTGAAGCTTTATCTCAGCGAAAGATTTAGCACGTGAGAAGTCAACGTAAAGTTGGCCATGAGAGAAGACGGGTTTTGGGAGGAAAATAAGTTTGACCTTGCGCTTTATTGATGGTGATGCAGTAAGCCAAGCGAATAGGGAAATGGCGGCTTTGAAGTGTAAATGATAGCTTGACATCGGATGGAGCTAATATTATCCTGGTTAATAATGTTCTTTGTCCACTGCGAGGGCCGGTGAGTATTTCTGCATCAAGTACGTGTTTGTGAAGTCTATGGATTTTGAGTGTAGTACCATTGCAGAGTCATTCTCGAATATTTAGATCTAGTTTTCAGTGATAGTTTCTATGAGTTGTTTGTCAGCAGTTTGGATATGGTTTTTGGGGGCGGAGATTTTATCGTGAACGTCTTTTTTAGTTTCTTGTAATTGCCTGACTGTCTGGGACATGAGTAACTGAAACTGATCCTTCGGGCAGTGGGAATTCATGAATGAGTGTATTAGTGTCGTAGCTCAACTAGGGATAAAGGGCTTCTTTGTAAACTATGTTGTTGGTCTTCCTGTCCTGTGTGTGAATGAATATCGCCGTGGGTTTGCCTACTTGTGAGAGGGCAACAGAGCATGCATGGGAGAAGACAGGTGTGGTCAGGTCGAAGCTAGTATGGTAGTGAAAGTCTGTCCTTGGGCTTTGTTTATTGTCATAGCATAGCAAAGGCTGATAGGGAATTGCAGTCTTTTAAATTGAAATGGAAGATCTGATGTTGAAGTAATGAGTGGTATGCGTGGTATGAATACGGTTTTGCCGGTTGCTGGTCCATGTAGGATGACGACTTCTATGACGTTGGCATGGCATGCTCTGACTCGACAACGTGTTCCATTGGTGATGTTGGGTGGGTCTAAAGATCTGAGGACAATGATGGGAGAACCAAGTTGGTGTAAATACGCGTGCGTGCGTGCGTGCGTGCGTGCGTGCAGGCCTGCGTATGTGCGTGCGTGCGTGTGCATGTACACATGCGTGCATGCGTGCGTGAGTGCGTGTGCATGTACACGTGCAAGCGTGCGTGTGTGTGCACGTACACGTGCGCGCATGCGTGCGTGCGTGTGAACGTACACGTGCGTGCGTGCGTGTGTGCGTGTGCGCGTACACGTACGTGCATGCGTGTGTGTGTGTGCGTACGTGTGAACGTACATGTGCGTGCGTGCTTGCGTGTGCACGCGTGCGTGTGCACGTCCACAGAATACATGTACATATGCGTACTGACCCAAGAGCGCACGCAGCACTCGAGATTTCACCGATTTTTCTTACAAAGGACCCTCTGACCAGTGACGTCACATAACCGCTTGGCTAACTACGAACTCTGTCGCGTACTGCCAAAAATGATTTCTTCATGACAGCGTTATTGTACTACGTCGAAAAATTGACATTATGTTCCAAAGATGCAAGTGCAAAAGCCTTAACCACCCGGTAGCGCCCATTAATTAATATTAATGAATAAACAAATACATAGACAAACATGATGGCAAAAAAATAAATTCAGATAGACAAACAAACAGAACAAAAATACACATGCAAATAAACAAACAAACGGGACAGACAATTGAACAATATAACAGAACAAGTACACATACAACAACGACAAGACAAACAAATAGATGAATAAACAAACATACAAACAGATTAACAAACCAATAACACAGACAAGTGGACAATCAAACGGACAAACAAACACTGTGAAACGAACAATACAAAACAACGAACAAACACAGAAACAAACATACATAATAACAAAAACAAACAGGCAAATAAACATGCCAATAACAAACAATTTTACCACAAGGAGCCAAAATTTACACGCAAGCAGACGAGTTTTACGCCGGGCGGGCGCGCGGGGGCGCGGGATTTCGACGTCGCGCGATCACTAGTGATCGCGTAGACGAAAGGACCTTCGCAGGGGTCGTGGCCCATTCCCCCAAGCGGTCACCCATCGAAGTACTAACCAGGCCCGACGCTGCTTAACTTCGGTGATCGGACGAGAACCGGTTCTTTCAGCGTGGTATGGCCCTAGACAGATTGCAGTGCTTCACAGACGTTCACAGCCGAAACGATTCGGCAGCCCGGTGTATACGCTGTCTGGCCATTGTGCACGCATGCTGTTTGCATCAAGAAAGCAACATTTTAAAAATCGTGCGATGTCATCGCAAATAAATTATAGGTGGTGTACGATAGTAGAAAACGTCCATAGGCAGCAGGCCTGAATAAGCATCGGACAGAAATTAATTAAAAATCCTCACACTCTTTCGCCGCATAGACAACATACACTTTATTCATGTTAAAAATAACTACAGATTCATGCTTTATGCTTTGCTTGAACCTTTTCCCACCTATATGGCGCGAATTTCTACAAAGTAGTCGGATCACATTTCAAATACAAAAATGACCAACCGGTCACCATGGCTACGCCACTTGACGTAATGTCACAGCTACACGACAAGGCTAATTTTACTTCTAATGCTTTCTACACGTTCAGGAGGCATCTAATTTGCGTGCGTGCGTGTGGACGTACACGTGCGTGCGTGCGTGCGTGCGTCAAAAAAGACATTTTCTAGAGACCAAATTGTGCTTGTACACGTACATGTACGGGCGTGCGTGCGTGTGCACGTACACGTGCGTCCGTGTGCACGTACACATGTGTGCGTACGTGCGTGTGCACGTACACGTGCGTGCATGTGTGTGTGCGTACATGCGTGTGAACTTGCACGTGCGTGCGTGCGTGCTTGCGTGTGCACGTACACGTGCGTGCATGCGTGCGTGTGCACGTACACAGTGCATGTGTGCCCCGGGGAGGGGGGGGGGATGAAGGAGAAATGCCCTGCTTATGGGAAGAGCGTGCAACGCTGCCGCAAAGCCAATCACTTCACGGGTCTCGCAATGTGTGAAAAGTAAACCCGTGCATGCCATGGATGATTTCGAAGAACAGAGCGAGTGCTCGGAGTCAACGGATGATGAGTTCATTGGCAAAGTAGAGGGCGCAGTGGAGACACCCACAACAAGTCTGTATACTGCTGAGATGCTAGTTTGGGACGGTCAGGGATACACTAACCGCGATAAAGTTACAGATAGACTGTGGTGCTACAGTCAACGTTGTCCCAAAGCAATACATTCCAAGGTCCGTACAGGTGATCAAAACTGATGTTACGCTGTCCATGTGGAATAAGACTGCAGTAACCCCACTAGGCGAGTGTGCGTTGAAACTGAAAAACCCCAAGACAGGCAGGAAACACAACGTCAGGTTCATAGTGGTTTCCGAGAAGCTTAGACTCTGCTTAGTAGACTGGCAGCAGAAAAAATGGCGGGCTCATTACCATTAACTACATGATGTTCAAGTCGTTTAATGCAGTGACCGGGGCTATATCTGGAGGATGCCCCAGAGTGTTCGATGGAGGACTGGGAAAATGCCAGGAACAGTACACCTGGTGGTGAAAAGAAGATATTTCCCCAACTATCTGTCCTCCACGGAAAGTTCCAGTGGCAATGAGGGACAAGGTCAAAGCAAAGCTGAAGGACATGGAGTCCAAAGGTATCATCGAGAAGATGACGAACCCAGTGACTGGGTAAGCAAATGGCAGTGACCGTGAAGAAGAATGGGGACCTTAGGATCTGTATAGATCCGAGACCTTTGAATAAGGCACTCAAGAGAGAGCAATTTCCCCATGCCGGTCCTAAGATGACATACTACCAGACCTTTCAAGAGGCACGAGTTTTTCAGGCCGTCTTGATTTGCAAGATGGGTACTGGCACTGTGAATTTGGATGAGGAATCTAGCAAGTGACGACCTTCCAACGCGCACCTTGGGCGCTATAAAATGGAAGCGCCTCCCATTTGGGTTAAACGTGAGTGCTGAAATATTCCAGAAGCGTCTCAAGACAACGCTAGAAGGGCTGGAGTCTACAGAAGCATTGCAGACGACATCATCGTGTGGGGAGTTGGTGACTCGATGGAGGAAGCACGTAGGGACAAACGACAAGAACTAGAGGCTCTAATGTTGAGAGCCCCAAACAAGGTTTAAAATTCAAACAGTCTAAGTGCGAGTTTAGAACAACCTCTACAGTGTTCCAAGGCCATTATCATAACAGCTGCAGGGGCACAGGTAGATCCAGAAAAGTCAAGGCCATTCAAAAGTCTGAAACCCCCGAAAAAATGTCGAAGCCGTGA